TGCAGTATCATTGTTTCAGACAGTTTTCTCTCTGAATGACTCACTTCTAAAATTGGTGTTGGGCTAGGAGAAAGGAACCTGAAGTGATTGAGTACATAAAGGTAAGGTGAGGACAGATGGAGATTTGTTTTATATGTGAATGGGTAACATAGATATGGCTACCCTTAAAGATCTAGTTTGGCCTTGATAGTATTGTTGGTTATAATAGGGGTTGCCTGCACTGATATAGGGAGGAAATTGACACCGCTGGGAATTTTGTTGCAGAGCTCCATCAGTTTGTCTGTCTGGGAAATAGGCTATTGTTATTGATGGCTAGCCATTTTATTAGGAAGCTGTCTATGAAGTGAAGACAGGCAACTACTTGAGGTCTGTGTTTGCAAAGTACTGTGTCTTAAGATACACAGCAGATTATTTACAACAAATGTAACAAATAGTGTTAAATTCTATTCTGAATCTGCTTTGTAAAGATCAGATCACCCTGAACTTCTTCACTGCATTTTGTTGTGTTTCCTTGGTCAAGTGTTTTAAGAATGCCTGAAACCTAAATCCTTTTATTTGCCCATGCACATGGAAGAAAAAACAGTTTGTATGGCTTGGCTATAGACAGTGGGTCATCAGGTTTGCTTTGGATGGAAACAAAAACTGTGCAAAAATATGTAGCAATGACTTTTGGGGGTTAAGGTAGCATTTAGACTCCATCTCACAGCTGTAGTACAGTGTCCACAAAGCAACTACCTGGACTCACACTGAGGGCAATGCAGAAGCAACATTTCTAAGACTCTGATTTCTTGACGGTTTCCATATGCTGGGCCCTTACAGCACTCTCATTTTTAATTTAGATGCACTCAGTATATTTGCAAAAGACTCCCTCCCAGCATTTAGTAGGAACTAAGTTCTTTCCATGCTTCCCTAACCTGAGAGTGCTGATGCAGCAAAGGAAAGGACAGGCAATGGTAACAAAGGTGATAAAGTAGTTATTACTATGCTGTAACGTAGTTGGTAGATTCATTTACATGGTCCTGCATGTAGCTAGATAAAAAGACCCCATTGATTTCCTGCTGCTCCCCCCACCTTTCCCAAGTTAATGAATGAAATCTACTTGTGTCAAAGGCAGGCCTATACCAAAAAGATCTGCTATTTGCATCAGCATTCTGGGGAAGATGCTGATAAGCAAGACAAATACAAGGATATGAGGGGAACTTCTGTCATAATTGCCCAGCATACCAATTTAGAGCACACACTATTAAATCTCTGCTGCTAGTGCTGCATGCTAATGGCTAGCTTAAGTAGTACTTCTTTCTTAGCATTACTTAGCCTGCTTGTTCCTACTCGACTGCATCCAAAGGATCTTCATTCTGTTGATTGCTCTAAGGAGCTGCTGTTTGAAATTAGCTGAATTCCACAGTGTGCCAAAGCCAAGGCAGCAGTGGCAGCAAACACTAAGGCTTTATCCGTTTTTGGCAGGTTTCCCTCGGCTTCCTTGGACTGGGTGACAAATTGCAAGACTCCCAGAGGGGCTTACTCTTCAAAGAAGCTATGTCAAAGTTAGGCACATGCTGGAAAGGAGCTGCAGGATTTGTGTATAAGGGTTTATAGAGTCAGTTCATTCAGCAAGGAAACACCAAAATAACTAGAAAATTGTTCTTCAAATGCAACTCCTGAATGGTTTAATAAAAAGGAATCTCAATAATGGAATTTGGTCAACATTCATTACCCATTTCTGTTCTGGAAGGCGCCCAAAACCATCAGTCTTGACAGCCTGGCAACTGACTCAACAGGTTGCCGTAAGCAACTGTGTAATTGTGATTCCAATTGATTGAGAAAAAGGTCTAGCCTGGTTGTAAAGCTCTCTATAGAGAAAACTGTAAGAAAGTGATGCATCCATGCTTCTTTTACCTATCTTAGTTGCTAAGCTTCTCTCCCAGTCCCCCTCTATCAGAAGCCATTTCAGTTCCCAGCAATCTGAGGCATAAGGGCATTAACTGCAAGTTATGGCTCGAGTTTTGCTCTTTTTGACAGAAATAACCCATGCTGAGTGCGACAGGGAGTGCTTCATAGTAAGCATGTTTAGGATTACATCCCTCATTTCCCATAAGATCATGCTGCTGATCTTCTACAAAGTTGTACTCCCTAAGTAAAGCTATTGAATTCCATATTTTAATAACTCACATTTTTAATTTTGTATTTCTAACCTTATCTTCCATTTTTGTCATGTTTTCAATTACCTGTTATTCATAAATCTCATCTATTATGTTTCTTCTAATGTCAGTTTGTTTATATGGACTCTGTTATTGTACTTTTGTTACAGTTTAGTCAACAGAAACTTTTCTTCTTATCGATGCATGACCTACTAATGCTACAGTTATTTCTTCTCTTTGCTTCCACCCAATTTTTATAGAGCTGCAAAGAAACAACATCCACTTGGTTGTATGTTGTTTCGTGCATACACTGCAATCCTATACAACTCAGAAACAAGATCCACTGAGCTGCTACTACATACAACATGCAGAAACAAAAAATGTAGCAAGGACACTCTGTATTAAAGTATGAGTGGGCAATTTGTAACTACCCAGGTATTTTGGCCCGTATTTCCCAGTAACCCTCACCATTGCCTGTGTTGGTGAGAGCTGAAGGGAGTTGTAGGCCACAAGCTTCTTCTGGAGTAATACAGCAAAGCTGATTGTATGTGCTTCTGGCAAGATATTTTGAAAATTTAGACTGGTCTTTGGGTGTAGTGGCTATTCCTTTCCATCTGTGGAAGCTTCAGTGTTGTGTTGGAGAAAGCTATGTGACCCTTGATGTTCCACTGTTTGGTGTTCAAAAGGGAAAAGGGGTTGAATGCTGTCTGTACTCCATCTTCTTTGTTGTGATGTGCCATCAAGTCATCTCTGACTCATGACAACCCTATAAATGAAAACCTTCCAAAGTGACTTGTCCATGTCAGCTCCATTCAGCTCTCCCAAGTTCAAGAGTGTGGTTTCCTTTACAGATTCGGTCCATCTCATATTTAGTCTTCCCTTTCATATTCTGTCTTTTACTTTCCCTAATGTGATTACGCCAACTTCTACCCTGCTATTATGATTTCAGCAGAGCACTGCATTTGGTGAGTCCTTCTTTTTCCTTTTTGAATCCCATAGAATTGTTCCTCTTGGCAAAGTACTTTTCTCTGCAAACAGAAAGCCTACAAACAAAAACAAATGACAAAAACAAACCCCTTTCAAGATGGGGCTAAATCAACACACCATGCAACAGTGACACTTGCATGTGCTTCAGTATTGCTGAGCACCTTTCAGCAATCTTGGTGGAGAGCTTAGTGAGTGGGCTTGGAATTCAGTCTTCACTGATTTCTGAGGGCCTGGGCTATCAGATTCTGAAGGGGAGCATACTAAGGAGTATCAAAGAAGGAAAGTAGCCTTTGAAGTTCTATAAAGGTTGTTGTCTGCAGTGTCACAGGTTAGCCATTCAAGCAGACTTATTGTGGAAGAGACAGGAAAGGACTCAGGAGAGGAGAGGGATCTGTTGTCTTGCCCAGTCCTTGATCCTGTGATGAGGAATCCATCCAGTTAAGGGATTGCATACATCTCACTGGCTAGCTCTCCACCAGCAGGGGAGCCTGCAGTGTTAATGAAAAAAAGTTGGGGAGAAGTTCCCTGCTTGGATTCAACATTTGCCCACTCATTCTTTACATGATCAAAGGCTTCTTGCTCAGCTTGCTAGAAAACTTTTAGAGTTGCATTGCCTGGTTACCTATGAAATGCCACTGAAGGACTCTCTGGAGTTTTGGAGTGCATTGTGATGGGTGTAGCATGGGGCCGAAACCAATCAGAGGACAATGTTTCCTACACACACACTGCAGTTGCTAGAAACAAACAGATGGTGGCTATCACCATCAAGACACCAGGGAGTTTCACCACCACCAAGATTATGAAACGGGTTCTAGGAATGAAAAAGAGATCAGATCAGCAATTTCAGCTCTGCCATACCACTGAAGCTATTAAAATGTCTAGAAAAATGTTGTAGTGCATAAAAATACTCCTAGAAAAATCATCAGTGGCCGAATACATAATATGCATGCAGAAGTTCCAAAGTTCAATCTTTGATGTCTCCAGGTAGCCCTAAGAAAAGAATCCTGCTTCTATGGTTGCTGTCGGGTTATGTTGACAATGCTGGTGGACTATTCATATATGGCAGCTTAAGTATTAGTGAGTTCTTTCATTCTACATACACCTGTAGAATGAGGCCCCTCAGCATCAGACTCAGAGACCATAAAATCAATTGCCTTTTTCCCAGGTTTAGGGGACTTCATAGCAATGGTTGTTGGGAAATCTGCTTAATTTGATGTCTCCATAGGGGCTGAAAAGGAACCACTGAACCCCTGAAACATAAGAACAGTTCCGTATGACAATATTAAGGCCATGATAATTAACAAATTTCAGTTTTGTCACTGCTCGTAAAGGATCTTTCCCCATCTCTGATCTCTGAGAGGGGTAATCACAGGTTGCTTGCAGAAGAAATGCAATCAGGCCTTAGCCATGAGCTACATGCCAGCCTGCACTTGATGCTTCCTGTGGGAACATTTGAAGAAATGAGGTAAAAGTAAGAAGGGCTTATAGGCACTAAGGCCAAACTGAATTTATTTCATATTGGGCCTGAACTCCATTGTGTCCCTACCTGATCTGAGATGGGCTCAGAGATTTAAATGATATAAATTTACATTTTCAGTTCCTTTTTAATGAGAGTTGACAACAGCAGTATGTCATAGGACAGAAACCCTTACAGAGAATTAGGAATTAAATGCCTTTTATGTAGAATTAAGTTTCACTGATTCAAATATAACTTCTTTGTTGGAAGGCAAGCTATACTAGTATCTCAAGAACTATATACTTATGTTTCCACCCCAGCACTGACAACACCAGCAAGGTGAAATGCAGAATTTATATTAAAAAAAGAAACAAAAACAGAACTCTGACAAAGTATTTTAATTATTTTAACACCTGTTTAATAAGGCATTCTTATTACTTGTTTACATGTGTTTTGAGTCAGCATTTGAAAAATAAAAAAAATAAAATTAAGCAAACCTCAAACTAATAAGCAGTCTCTCCCTCCGAAGTTATACTTCTCTGTTTGCGGACACAGCATGCATCTCATATGTTGTGGCTCAAAATTACAGTAGAGCTGAAGTAATACAAAAAGGATAAACAAAATATGAAATAAATATATTTGTTATAAGCTAAGTTTGTCAATTATCTCAAAGGCTAAATGGGTAAGAAAAGTGCCATATGGATGCATACGTGGCAGTAATTCTAGATCAATCAATATTATGCTGAGTAAATTTTGTGTTTTCCCAACTGTCTTTGATCTGAGAAGTAATAGGTTGCTGGTGCTGACTTTCATCTCTGCAGGATCTTTGTAGCAAAACAAGAGCTTTCTTATCACTGTATTCTCTGCAGAGCAAGACATTTAGAAAGAATGATGGTTACCAAACTGGTAGACCGTGCTTACTTTACTACTTCGCCATTTGGGGACTGCTCAAAATAAATTTAGGAATGTAAAAGGTGAGACAACAACAACAAAAGACAGGAAATTTAGCAGCACAGCTTTAAACGTCTTTACCAGCCTTGACACTTTGCCTAGAAATTTCTGAAGTCAGAAATTAAGGATATTTTCTATTTATTAAAAAGTGCACATTGCAGGTTCTGTATGTTTGCTGAACATCAAACTGTGTAATCTGGAAATCACACGGCAGACTTGGCTAGCATCCCTACTTTCCATCAACATTCATGGACCTTCAGGCTTTATTTGGCCTATGTAGGCCAGAACTACTTGGATGTTTCTGAACCTTCCAAATAATAGAATTTAAATTATTTGATGTGAACAGCAGCTGGAGACTTTCATTGTATATCATCCAGTTTAACTAAGAAAAATATAATAGTTGTGGTATCCAACTTCTCTTCATCATTGTGTACAGCACATTTTGTACATTTTCCCAGCTCAAAAAAAAAAGAAAAAAGAAAAAAAAAGAATACATGATATAGGCTAGACGAATTGCATAGTGGCTCAATGATGACCGTACAGTGGCTCAGATCTTCGGCTAATGCAGTTCAGTGGACAGGAATACCTGGTTCACAATGAGAACACAGTACTCTATGCTGTGTTGTTTCAGGATAGCTTGTCATGTTGCTCAAATCTTGAACATTTTTAAAATCATAGTTGTTTTTCATTAACAAACTACCCAGAGAACCTATGGTCTATTCATGGGTTGTTCAGGATCGCTTGTCATGACAGATGCATCTTGGCAGGGCAACCCCATAGTGGGTTATTGAGAATGGTTGCAGAACTGTGTCTCCTGGTGCTGCCATCATCCTCCCTCATCCCTTCTTGTTACGAAAAGTGTCTAGGGCCCTTCTTGGCCAGGAAGGAGTTAACAACTGGCTTGGATGAAGGGCTGCTCAGCCCAGGTGGTGATTCAAGGAGAGCTAGGTGCCAAGGCTGCGGGAGGGCCAGATAGGGCTGGCAATGTGTAAACACCAGGTACTGTAAATGACACCCGTGGTCAAGGAATTTCACATTCCCTAAGAGAACTGAAGATTTGAGGGCTATAGGGCAAATGCTTCTCACCTGGAATATGTCAGGAGATGCCACCCCATTGGTTATCTGATGGATCTAAAAGGTATAAATGAGGGGAGCGTACAGCTCGGGGTTCTTTTTTGGAGAGGTTCCCTGTTGCTGCTGGAGGATGCTGTGCTATCTTGCCGAAGAGGATACATTAGGTAACATTTTTGCTTTGGTTTCAAGATGGCCAAACACCCCAGGAGAGTGTGGATTGTTTGTAATTCTGTATTATGCTGCTCTCCAATTCCCTATTCCTTCCTTTCCTGGTTGTGTGTGTTCTGCAGTGTTTAGACCCTCCGCCCCTATTTGCTAGCCTTTGAAATAGTTTTCCCCATTCCTTAGGCTGTCATGTGCTGAATCCAATGTCTGGCTCCAGGATTTGGGGTTCAGGAGTTCTGAGCGAAGGTGTACTTTCAGGAAGCCGCAGGGACGTAGGCACTCTGGAGCAGCTGAATGCTACACTTCTCAGTGCTATCCACCTTGTGCTCCTAAAATGCAGGAAAGATGGTCACCATGTGTGTCAGAACAAGTTCTCAAACTTAAAAAGGATACCAATATTCTTCTTGCACAAATGTGCACAAAGTCTGCTGCAATGAACGTTCAATAGTTTCCCCTCTGCTTTCTGTGCGCAAAAATAATAAAGAAATGTTTCTCAACCACTGACAAGGTGTGCTTAATCACTCTGAAGGTACTGTCAAAATGGAGATTGTGAGAGCTGGCTGTCAAGCTGTAATTTTTTAAAAAAAAGGAGGAGGAGAAAGAAGAAAAAAGCTATGAACCAAAATTGGTTTGTAATCAAGGTGGAGTAGACAGCAAACCAGTGCCAGTCACCTCCAAGTGCCCTTTGAACATTTGGGCAGGGCTGGCCCTGGTGGACACAGGCTCTGCAGAGTAGCAAGGGATTTTTGCTGAGCTTGAAAGCTACTTGTCTGCCAATTCCTGCTGCACAAGATGGAGCTGGTCACTCAGCTGCTTTGGAGAACCAAGAGAGTCATATGTATTTGCAAAGATGCTTTGGGTATTCCTGACCAGTTATAAATGTTAATCCTTGCCTAATAACACACACATTAAAAATGTGCACTGAATTTGGTGGTTTGGAGGAGGGCCATGCAGCCTATATACCATATGTTGCCAACCCCTGCTCTAGCAAGTAAGGTTTAATAGCTGCCTCAACCAAGGCGTGTCCCAGACCAAGGATAGTGAAAATTAGTAAGTTGGACGTAATTTGAAATGAATAAATACAATTGATGCATTGATACTCCAGTGCTATGGCTTATGAACTGTTTTTGCCTGATGGGGTTGAGTGCCCACTTCTCACACTGCTGCACATCTTTGAATGGGAATATGTGTATTCTGGCTTTGTCAAAGCAATGGCTGTTGGCTCTGTTAGTGATGCCTTGATATGGGCATTTCTTATGGAAATACGTGATCTGCTTTTCACTTATGGGTCCATTCTATGCATGGTTACAGCGGAACAGTGGTTTTTTCCTGTCTAAGCATGCATAGGATTGAGCCCTAAATGAGTTACATAGCATGGTGACTCCATGTCACACGCTCAATCTCCAGTCACAGCAAAAGGCCAGCTTCACAGCATCATACAATGAAGAGGTGTGCCTGGAAATCATCTGGAAACAGAGATGCATCATTCTTGGTGCGGTCATTTGATGGTATAAATGAATTTGGTAGACTCCTGCAAGCATTTGATCCTGTTCTGAATTAGTAAACCTTTGTATCTGTAGACCACATTGATGAGTTTGCGCTGGAATGAAAATGTATTCTTTTATCTCATCCAAAGGAAGCTCAGCATAATGATGATAGCATTATTTTAGTAGTTTCAGTAGTTGGTGATCAGCTCCTTATATTTAACTTCCGGCATGAATAACTGTACATAGTGTAATAATTAACATAGCTTTTTGCATGTGCCACCCTATGAAATTCAAGAGCGTAGTCGTAATGCTACTATCAAGAAAGAATAATTAGATACATGAAACTGAACAGGCAAGTCTATAAAATTTAATCCTTGAGATAAAAGTGTATACCAGCATATGTAATCAATGCACCATTTGTGGTTCTGCTACTTCATCACTGTTCTACACTGTGAGCCCTTCAACAAGACCCTTGTCCTGTGACATTATTAGTTTCTGGAACAGGTAACATTTCCAACAGCTGGAAAAGGTACGCAGAGCTTCCCTAGCAGTGAAACAGGCTAGATCAGTGGGCTCTGAAGATTTTCAGGAAGGGTGAGATAGGTGACAGTTAGAAATTCTTTAGCTATCAGGTTAAAGCAGATATTCAAATCTAGCAACTATGCCTTCTTTCCATTTTTTTCTCTAGTAGATACAGAGTCCCCAATTCAGATTTTACCCCCACCCCCATATCCACATTATTAGTGTCCTGATCTAGCTTGAACACTAATTCTAGAGTACAATAAAAACTAAAGACATAGTAGCGCACACAGATTTAAAGTAATGTGTGCACGTTACTTTGGCTTTGGCCAATACACTATCTGCTTTTACATCAGAATATAATGATCCATCTGGTTTATTCCAGTTCTCATTCCATGTCCTGAGGTTGTGAGAATGAGCTTGGCACTTGGCATGATCTCTAGCATACAAGTTTTTCTCTTTATCAATATTTTCTATCACTGTCAGTAGATATTTGATTTTAAAACATCAGCAAAACATTTTATTAATCAACTGAAAAATTAAACCAACTTTTTATTGATACATAATCCATTCTTTATGGATTACCTATGATCTGTTACAGCAAACCTTGGAATCTGCTTGGCTCACACAACTACTGAAGGCTGGCTTCCAACTACCCACTTGTTTAATACATTTTCAATTTCAATGGAGTGGGGGAGTGGCAAGTCTTGTCTTTGTTTAGCGTACAGTCTTGCATATATAATACGTGTGCATGCAGAGGCAAAACTCTTTAATCCTTCGTTTAGTTAATTATTTTGAGAGCAGCATTGTCTCTAAATCATACCATTTCAAGGTTCTTGCCGGCATACAAGAAGGCAGTAGTGGGCTCACACAAAACCTAGGACCACAGAAAGCTGTCTTATGCTGAATCAAGCCACAGGTCCACCTTGTCTAGTACTGTCACCACTCAATGCCAGTGGCTTTCTGAGGTTCCTGGCAGGAAGCTTCCATGCTGAAGATCAGACATGGAATCTTTGGCATCCAAAGCACACGCTCTGTCACTGAACAATAGTCCGTCAAGTTCACTTACTGCAGGTGAAAGGGGATAGAACTGTAGTCTTTAAGCATGGAGCAAGTCTGGGTTGGCAAGATACAACAGCCCACTGGGACTAATTAGCCCTGATAGGCTGTGCATCATGTGAACTAGTTTGTTCTCTGTGTGTATATGGCCAGGGAAGGGAATAGAGGAAATAAGGCTCTTTTGAGCTCTGTGATAATCCTCTATGTGAATGCACGGTACACTTGTTTCAAGTGGAATGGGCCCTAGATAAAATAATAACAATGATAGGAAGAAGAGCAGAAAGAAGAAGAGAAAGAAGATGCAGAAGACTAAAGACTATGGGCTGCTTTCACTGATTCTACATAAATATAACCAGTGACCAGAGCTTAGTATTTGCACAGCACTTTTTAAAACACATTTTTATCATCACCACAGTTCTACAAAAATAGCAACATGGGGTGCTTAATTAAGATTCATTTGTAAAAGTCTTGAGTGGCTGCTATGTTTGTACAGTGGCTCTTAAGCCTTGCCTCACACCCCCTTTTCATTTCATAGTCCAAAAAAGTGCAGTGACAACATGCTAGGCATGTGAGTGTTGCCCATTGAAGCAATTCCTTCGCATAGAGAGATGTTCACACAAAGACTGCACTAGCTAAACTGGAAAGACATGCAGACCTCCTGGTTCTGGTTCTGGTTCTGATCCAGGCCTGCAGAAACACTGAAGATGGCAACCTTTTTGGACAGAATAGCTTCCAGGAGAGGTATGGCCAGCACAAAGAACAAGAGTCTTGCCCAGAAGATTGATTGTAAGGAAGAGAATGACTCCCACAAGCTAAAGAGCTCTGTTAGATACTCAGTTTCCAGTGACAACAAAACACATAGTAAACAATGTCTTTCTTCCACACCTCCATCAGTCAATGAATTTCCCCATCTTGCTCTTTCATGCACACATGCAAATACCCATCACCTCTCTATAGGAAGGGAAGGGCATCTCAGTGAGCATCTAAATAGAACGTGGAGGCACACTAATGGACTGGGGGCAGGATGTTGCCCGCCTCAACCTATGTTCATTAGTAGAATAGTAGGGTCCCCTCCATTACTTTTGGGAGGCTCTGGCATGCTGTTTTCATACAATTTAAACACTTTATCACTGAATTAGTGATCCTTCCCTGGAATTGTACAACTTGGTAATGTGTCTAACACATAAATCATACTAAATTCCTACACTGCAGTCCAACGAATGACCTTAAAACCAAAGTTCAATCCTTTTGGAAACAAAGTGGGCATTACACTGGTCACAGAAAAGGCCACCCAAGAAACTTTTCCACCTGTTTTCACACCCTTCTGCCTTGGCAAAACAAGACTGCATGTTTCTTCCCACCCTTCCATTTGCTGAAGGGCTTATCTGTCATGGCCTCTCATTTCCTAACCCTTTCCACCTGACCCTTGATATATAAATAGTTCCAGTCCACCCATTATGGCAATCACACACAGACATAAATAAAATATAAATAAAACATTCTCCAACCAGCAAAGACAGGGGCAGCTACCAAAACCAACAGAAAACATGATGGCTGGTTCCTCTAAACAGATGGGGAAGGAAACGAAAATAATGCAGGTAGTCAAATAGCAAAAAGCAGTTATAAGCAGTGCCTTCAATTCTTATCTTTTACAAAAATATGAGGAATGGAATTCAGATACCCTGCTCTCACTTTTTGGGACACCTGAAGTGTGTTCCTAGAAAAGTTTTAGAAAGTGGCAGATACTAGAAGCCATAAAGCATACTATATAGAGGAAGCACTCTGAACTAATTAAGTCCTTTTAAGAGAAACTTTCAAAATGTAATATGAGTCCATAATGTACAGGATTGACATTTCACTGCAACTATTTTACTTACTTCCATATTATTTAGGCATTGTGAAATTGTTCTGAATACACCAAAAGCATGAATAGGTTACAGTGCTGAAAGGCTGGTTTCTCCCTTGTTTTTCCCCGTTTTCTTCATTTTATATAGTATACTTTTGAGAATTAGAACAGTTACTTGGAACTGAATTTCCTTTTTGGAAAAGCCCCAATAAAATGAGCACATCCGATATTATTCATCGAAGAATTTGTGGTGTGGTGTGGCTTGACATATCCTTTTGAAGAGATCCTGCTAGTCATACAACAAGCAGTAATGACATAAGACCACAAACACCTTTCCATGAATATATTACTTCTGAAGAAGAAAATACTTTATGAAATCATTTTGATTGTTATAATAATTTGTGAAAAAATATATGCTGAGTTACTACAAGGAAGCCTAACAGCTTATTAAATTTTGTTATATCATCCTTCCTTCTGATGCTGAACTTGGTGGTGCTATTCCTATCAGTTGGGCAGGAAAACAGGGCCACCTACAGACAAAGGATTAGTTTTTTCAAAAAGTTCAGGGGACATCCCAGATGTGACAGTTCTCCTTCTGAGATGATATAAACTCTGGGGAATTTGAACAAGCAAATTCCCTTCATTGCCCAGATGTTTTTCCTTTTTCTGCTTTAAAAATTTCCCTTTCTGAGACCTGAACAATGCTATAAGAATTCCAGGCCAACTGAAAACCTGATGGAGGGGATATGGCACATTTTGTTGAATTTTGTCACCACTTGTTATTTCTAATGCAAAATGTGCTTGTTCTCTGTCTTTCAGCCAGGTAACAAAATGAAGCTGCCCACAAACAAAGATGTTGCTGTATACTCAGTGCATTCTCCAGGGATGGAGAAAAAAACTATTTTGATGTTTTGCTTAAAATTTTCCCCCCAGCCTAATGATGAATGAACATGTTCGTCACCCTCCAAGAGGCATGGAAGGTTGAGAGTATCATCTGAAGATAAAAAGGAAACAGGTGGTGGGAAACTGGAATGACAGAATTCCTAGTAGTCATGTCAGCCTTTACTAACTACGTTAAACCGAAATCCTCATGGCCATTGCTAGGAACAATGGGTTTAACACATCTGGAAGACACCAGGTTAGCATGGGCTAGTTTATGGTATCCTGGTGGGAAAAATAAAGATGCTTAATCCCCTCCTTTCCATACAGTTCAGGATGCTATATGGTTTTAAGGAGTATGCTCATTTCAGAGCTAAATGAATAGGGAAAAGACTGGAGGCAAGTACTTCCTCTGATCATATTTTCTCTCCCCTTCAATAAGACTTAAGTCATCTATCTTAAAGCAACATGTGCTTTGGCCTACAATTGCCATGTTCATTTACCACTAATGAGAGCTTTGGCTGCTGTGCAATATAGAAATGAAATAAGTTAATAAATAAGTAAATATGCTGGCTTGGGCTTATGGCAGTTGTAATCCAAAATTTATGGATAACCAAGTAAGCTGTGAAGAGAACACATCAGCTTGAACATCAGCAGTTGAAGACAACTGTTTGATAGAACAACAGTATACGATTCAGGAAACTACACATCCAGAATTCAGCAGTTCCACATTTGTGAGCTGTGATGATGAGAAGAGGGACCTTCTCCATGTGTATGATTCCTGTGGGCCTCCAGCTTGCATTTGTTCTATTTTTCTTCTCTTTATTCTGTTTTTAAATTACTGGGGTCAAAAATTCCCCACCAGAGCCAAATACATTTGTGTTATAGGAAGATCAAGGACTGGCACTTGAATCTGTAGAGCATCAAACCCCCTTCTGGGGCTGTTTCACATGCTATGCTTTTCCTATTTAAGGAATAGTTTTCTATATTTGAAACAGGGTGAAGCAAGCTATCAGGTTACTATGTGCACCAACAGCACATGCATATATATTGTTGTGAACACACATTTATATAAGACTGTTTGCCCACTCATACTGATATTGCTTACAAATGTCACTCTAACACACTCCAAGCCACTGGAAACAGCAAACTGAGGCTACAAGGGACAATCCTGGATAGCCACATAAAATGATGCACAATTTATCTGTCTAGCTCCTTTAAATCAATGAGAATATCTCAGGGAAGAATAAGAGGATTGACAGTGAGAGTTAAGAAGGTAAGAACAATTTTCTTCCTAGCTAGATCAGAACAATTCACCCTTCCTTCTACCTCAAACTGATTTAACTTTCAGCTTAAAAGCCTTTGGCAAGTTCAGGGTTCAGAGATACAGCAACATTCCTAGGAAAAAACCAATTTAAGAATTTAAAGACTGTGTTCACTACAAAGTTAGGTGAAGTGTAGCCCTTTAGTATAAAGCTCTGGAAGAATAATTGTTATCAGTCAGTTGCAACAAAAATATCCTAAAGCCATGTGGCCTTACACAATCGAATTCTTTGCACATTTGCTTAGAAGTTTTGCTGTGATGTATTTCTAAGTAAGCATGCAAAAGAATTTCAACCTTACTCTCAAGCAGATGCTCCTAGGATTTCAGTCTCAGAGCCATAATATTTATGCCAGTTTGCATTTTCTGCAGGCTGCCTCTTTCCTCCTCGCAGATACACCATCACTTCCTGCCTCTGAAAAAGAAGGTTCTGGTTTAGGCGAGCTCAAGCCTCGCATTGTGCTGGTAACCCACGTGCCATTTCCATCCTAGAAATGGGCAAGCTCGCGTCTCCACCCTCCACCAGCCCTTTTTCATGCGCTTCCTCCCATCCCGAGTCAGAAGCCTTTTAGCCCAATCCGTAAGGAGGGACATCAAAGGGTGTCATCCTATGCACACTTACCTAGGAGCAAGCTCCATCGAACCTAGTGGGACTAACTTCCGAACAAACACGCATAGGATTTCAACGCACATCCGTTTAGGGGATCGCAACCTCATCATCCCAAGAGCTTCTCTCCCACTGGCCCGCCACAGCCCGATCCCGCAATCGAGCCCATCCTAACTTGCACCTCGGCTGCCCGCCCCACAGAATCCCAACCCGAAGTGAACCTACGAAAGCTTCTCTTCCCGAACAGGCCACGCCCCGTCCATGCCCGGGTCCCGATCCCCCCAGTCCGCCCCCCCGCGATGCCTGCAGCGCGGCGCAGCCTCCGGGGCCAATGAGAAGCGCCCTTCGCGCCAAGGGCGGCAGCCGCGCTCCGTCCCTTCGCGCAGTAATAGGCGAATAGGCAGAGGAGCCGGGCGGACGCGAGGATCGTAGGCGCGGGGAGGCGCGGAGCGAGGGGGCGGGCCTCCCCGGGCTGGCCCCACCTCCGCTCGCCGCTGTCGGTCCTGCAGCGCCGCTAGGCTGCCAGAGGGAAAGAGCCACCTGCTTCCGAGCAGTCGGGGCTGCAGAGCCGCTTCCTCTCTGCCGTCCGTCGCAGAGCTCAGCCCGCGCCTGCAACTTCTCTCGCTCCCGCCCCGCCGAGCTCGCCTGGAAAGTTGCTGGCGGCGCGTCGTAGCCCGTTTGAGGAAGAAGAGGAGGCCGCCGCCGCTCTGAGCGAGGGAGCGCCGGAGAGGTAGCAGCCCACGCCTTCGCCCTCTCGTCGCCTCCAGGAAGAACGGCGCCCAAAGTCGCCGTTCGCCCGGCGCTCCTGCGGGGAGGCGGGATGGAGACCCCCTCTGCCGCCGCCTCTTTCCGTCGCGACTTGCAGCCTCCGGCGCTGCCGATCCTCCTGGGCTTGCTGCTCTCTGCCCTTTGCCTGCGGCCAGGTGAGTGGCGAGCGAGCGAGCGAGCGACCTCCGAGGCGCTCCAGCAGTGCCCGGGCAGCTCCAAGCGCGCGAGGAAGCTGTCAAGAGCGGCGCGCCGTCGCCTTCGCCTCCCGCTTTCTCTTTCCCTTTCCCGACGGGCGGAACTTTAGAAAGGCGGCGGGGACGGTGGGGAGGAAGCGACCCTGCGGCGGAGGCAGCCGGCAGGTGGAGGGTCGCGGGCTGTCGCGCTCGGACGGGCTCCCGGCTGCCACCTTTGCGCTACAGGTTCTCTCGATGAGCTTTCTGTCCCGGCCCGATGGGAAGCTCATAGTCATAATGGCTTATTTGGTCAGTGTGTCTGTGACTGACGAAGCTCGATCACGTTATATGCGCGTGTGTGTTGAGTGTACGATCCCCAACCCACGCACGCCGCACCTTTCGCACTTAGGGCTGCAGCCTTGTATTGTTAAACTCGGTGGGACATCGGAGTAAATGTGGAAAGGATCGGTCTGCGCGGGCCCCTGCATGCTAGTCGGCGAGTGGATCGTTGTGAAGCAGTGTCTTTTTTTTTTTTTACGCACACTTTCTTTTTCAAGTCATTCCTTTCAGATATCATTTCTAAGTCTCTAATCGTACCCTTTATACACATACCTGGGATAGTCCCACGGTGGGATTTCCGACTCTTTCCCTGCGATTCATAAACCACTGACTCCGGTGCCTTTGGAGAGTAGCGGGACTGACCTGTTTTAAATGCAAATTATAGTACATGGAAAACAGTTATTAACGCTTTCGCTTCTCTTTTCTCCATTCCATCCTTTTTCCAGTCCCGGATATTGATATAAACAGCTCATTACATTTTCAGTACTGATCGGGGATTATTGCTCTCTTTCTTTTGGTTGCTTGGGTTTTATTGTGCAAGCAAACAAAATGAGCTTTCTGTCGTTGTCAGCTCGCGTTTAACTCCCAGAGGAATCCTGTAAGAGATGTTGAAGCATAGAAAAGCCTCTACCCCGGGTGGGTTTCTTCTGACTCCCTTCTGAAAGTTGCCTTTCTGGTTGGACTAGAGAGAAAGAGAGCAGGAAGAGGTGACCTCACCTGCATTTGTAAAGAAAGCTACAGAGCAAATGACAAGCGGGTCTTTTGTGTGTGGAGGGGTAGGGTGGGGGACAGGGCGGGAAGGAAACGAGCAGCAGAAGGTTAGCCACCAGTTAAAGGCAGATCTGGGAGTCGTCTCTGTTCTGAGTCTGAATTTCTGCTATTGATTCTTTAACCATCAGTGTAATCAGCCCTAGAGAAACCTGCCTTTGGATCCCTATTCTCTATTCTGTACCACAAATGGCTACATACGTTGGGGAGCCTTTCTTCTGTTTTGCCCAGGGAATAGTTCTGCATCAGCAGTTTGGGCAAGACCGTGTGTGTGTGTGTGTGTGTGTGTGTGTGTGTGTGTG